CTCTCTCTCTCTCTCTCTCTCTCTCTCTCTCTCTCTCTCTCTCTCTCTCTCACTCTAACATTTCTTTTCCTTTTAAATCTTCTTTTAAACGTAAGAATTTTACTTGATTAAGTTTTAAAGTTTCTTTTTCTCGAAAATAAAATTTCATTTGAAAAACAATTTATTTTATTATATTTCAACTTATTTTAAACTATAAGTCATTATCTCAATTCCTCCTGAATAATATTTCGAATCAATCCTGTTATTTCAATCAAATTTTGTCAACATATTTTTTGCTGTTTAAAAATTTAAATTTTATAAAAAACTATAATAAACAAATTTTCTATCTAATCGGCATAAACTCCAATTATAATTTTCATATCTTGAATCTGCATTGTCACATTAATGCATTGAATAAACGTGACTTTGTGTTTAAACTATCGCGTTCAAAATGCATTAACTATGAAAACTCTTTAATCTCTCACAAGGTATTTTTACGAGAATTTCCACTTTTTCAGTGAGAAGAATATATACCTGCACCGTTCACAGGATATGATGCATGGAGCAAATAGAGGAGCGCCAAGGCGAGGAGGCTCGCCATGCCACCGTCGCGGACGCCTCTCATCTTTCCTGAGCTTCCGCGGGAGCAGCCGGTGGTCCGCCGTGGTGATCGCGCAATCCGCTGTCGCGGATCCGCGAGGAATCGTTCTTGCGACCGAGCGTCGAAGGCCGCCGGCCTTGGCCGCCGCGGCTCAACGTCGATCGCTAGATCGCGCGTGAGACTCGCGGACGGCGACGACCGTTGCCGCCGGCCACGGTATCATCCTCCGGCGACCGCGGGGGTGAGGCGAGGAGCCGCCTCGCCAATGAGACACTTGTCACCGCGGTCCGTGCCACTGCCGATGCCGCTGACTCGCGGCGCTCACTCGCATAAGAGCGCTCACGTGAGAGCACTTGCCGCTTCTGGAAGCGAGCGCGACTCGCTATGTGTACCACACGCACTACTCTGCCTTGTTGTTTTCCTGTAACCGTTGTTGTCCGAGCGTATATCCCGTACAGTCCGTACACCGTTCATACATTGTCCGGAGCGAATGTCACTCCAGCCACACCGCTCGCGATTACTTTGCCAATCGAATTATATGCGGAGATTATCTTGCTTGAGACATTAAAAAGAGTGCAACGATTTTTAAAGATTCGAAGCTATTATTTCGCACGAACAACAATTTCTCAAATACACCACGTCGTTCGACGTCGCCGCTGCAGAAGGCGCGCCGCCATTTTCCTACCGACAGGCCCGGCCTATTGCAAATTCTCTTCGACGAACACGCCGAGGAATACGCTCATGTAATCAAAGAATTTCACAGTAATTCACGAGAATATCACTGATAATCGTACGTCAACAGACTTAAAATTTGCGAAAATAACGCTTCGTCGTGCATCATTATCGCCGTCGTCGTCGTCGTCGGCACTTCGTGACTTCGGCGCAATCTCGACACAACTGTCATGCGGATCGCTCGCTAGAGCTCTTCGCGCTGATCGTCGGACAGCGACTCGTGCTACTATTGTCGCTACTGCCCTTGCTCCTAAAGTATTTCATGATACACGTCACTACCTTCTTCAGATTCGTATATAGCTGCTTCATTTTCGCAATTTCATTTTATGCGTTGAAAATTAAGATAATGCAAAAATCGAATGAATTTTGAAATAATGATAATAATTATAAAATCTAAAGAAACATCTTCTGTCTATTATATTGTAATAAACAAAAATATAATAGCTATTTGCTTCGAATTGACAATTCTTTAAAATACCGTAAAAATTGCATAGTTTGAACGTTAGAATAATAAATAATTTATATTTTGTATTGAAGTGTACGAAAAGTATAAAAATGCGTACTTAATTTTTTAATCGAGCTGCATTACGATCATTAAAAAAATTAAAGATATTTCAAGAAAAAGATATTAATTATAATTTAAATAAAAATTATTAAACAATCTGTTGTTAACGATTTGATTATCAAGTACAAGTTTACACTTTTCTTTTTACAATTTAAATTGCAAAACATAATAAATTTACTTTTCTATCAAAAAATTTTTATTTTCCAACATAGAAAGTATGAATTTAATTTGCAGATGTAAGTTCTCGCATTTAACATTTCATTATATTTTATTTCTTCATAAAATGTGCTACGTTAACAGCAGGGATCATCGAAAAATTGATACATCACTGCCAATTTGCGCATGCGCCTTTTTTAAGATACTTCCAGTTTCATTAACATCGAAATTTTATAATTTATAAAATAAGATAATTTGGCATTTATTTCTTGCAAAAAATATTGTTACATATTAAATATATTTCTAAATAAATTCTTCAAATATTTTAATTTGTTATACATATTTCTTAGATTGTTTAGAAATTATAAAGTATAAATGGGGAAAAAAATATGTACAAAACAAATATTTCTCTTAATCTTTTTTTTAATAAAATTTTTTCAGTTAAGTGTTTTTTTTAATGATTATTTGACAAATATGAAGAATTAATCACATTAAACGATTTTTCTAAAAACATGTATATTATAAACTTTATAAACTTTTATGTTATATACTTAAAAACTATGCACAATGTATGCACTTATATTAGATGCAATTTACATATGTATAAATGTGTGAATGTATAATTAAAATATTGGAACTTTATAAAATCAGTAACATTTGTTAATTATTATATAATATGTTTATAAACTAAAAGAAATAATTTTTTAATAACTTCAAATAGTTATACAATATATTATCGTTACGACACATTTATAAAAAATATTTATAGAAAATATAATATTAAAATACTTAATTTATTTCATACATGCATTCAACTTGAAAAAAACATTGAATTTAAATACATACATTGATACATAATACTGCAAGCAAATTTAATAAATTAATGAATGTAAATTCTTTCTAAGTTTTTATTCAAAATACTTTTCATGAATTCACGAAATCTGTATTAATAAATTATTTCGTAAATATAATAAAATGATCAAATATATTCGAACTAACACTTCAAAAATGTATTACAAATTTGATTATCACAAAATGCATTTCTTATATATTATAGTGTATAATAGTAGTGATATGGAAATGAATGATATGGAACAGATAGTATATATTGATAATATATATTGATTGAACAAAGAATTTAAAGCATATAAACAAGATATGTAAGGCAAGATGTTAATATAAATATTTATGTAAAAGAGTTGCAATAATTATATAATGTAAATATAATAGATACAAGTCTAACTTGTAACAATGATAATAATAAAGTAAATGTTTTTTTATTATATATATTTTGATGTCTAAATACGCGTTGGAATAATATGTATGGAATATATTTTTATTATAATTAAAATGAAATTACCATTAAAATTATTAAAATAATCATTTATAGCACTTTAACTTCATCTTCATTTGATTGCGATTTGATATTGCACACATATTCTATATTCGATAATTAATTGTGTTGAAATTAATATGTAGTATATCTAGATGGATAATTATGGTCGTAAATAATTACGGATGAGAATTCAAGAGATTTCAGTATTTCTTTTTAGGCAATAATGCAGTCGACTATAATAAAATTAGAAATTACAATATTCTAACTAATTTTAACATTTTCAAAACATTATAAACGTGACAGAATTCTTGACTATTATCAAGAATGCAATTGCAATTTCTTTATAAATGAATTAAAAGTTATTTTTAGAAAGTTAACAAAGAAAGATCTTAACAGTACTAAGGAAAATATGATTCTATCGTATCTGCGATAAAAACATTGCTTTAATTACATGCGTCAAAGCCCATTATTAAAATGATGTGAAGGTCAATTATAACAATTTACGAGAGTTGCAATTTATTTCTAGTTTAAAATTATTCAATGACGCATATCCAATTGTCTTACGTTACTATTTAATATATTTGTTTGTCATTAATTGTTACCAAACAATTTGCTTGCCTTATACTTTTTTCTTTCAGAGTGGATTATTCTAAAAAAGATACTATAAAATTGAGATTTCACACTCATATTAATAACATAGATAATAAAAGAAGTTAAAACTTATACAATTTTATATTGATACATAATTATATGAAATATGTAATATGTTTTCTTCATATAATCTCCTTTAAATATCCTAAGAGAATTAAACATAACATAATATTTAAAATTTAAATAAGACGTCATAAAAAAATCTAGCTTTTCTTAGAAAGAACTTAATTTTATTTAAAAAAAGATAAACTGGCAATAATAATAAACAAAAATGAATAATAGAAGGGCTAAGAGCCAAATTTTTTGTATATTTAAATTCTTAAAAAATGGATTATTCTGGCTAAACTTTCACATTGAGGTATATGTACAATAATTTTATTTATCATGCATACTTTAATATAGTCAATTAAATAAGGACTAAGAATTTTAAATACAACGACCATTTATCAGTTTAATTTTTATAATCTATTAATTTAATAACAGAATGTGTGCTTGCATAATTTTATGGAATGATTCTACATGTTCAACTAATTTTATTATCATTACGGACAAATTGCGACCGATGTAATAAAAGAATGTAACTACGAAGATGACAAAGCATTGCATTGTTGTGGCTGAAAATAGATATGAAGAAATAGGTCCACCATTTTGTACAACTATAATTTGCAGAAATTGTATTTAACCGTTTTATGATTTTTATTAAATTTGATTAATTTATGTATATACATTGAGGATGACCTAACAAATAAGATGAAATGTGTTTTTAAGAATTTAAATATATAAAAAATTTGGCTCTTAGCCCTTCTATTATTCATTTTTGTTTATTTAAAAAATTAAATTAAATTATAATAAACAAGTACCTCAAATATATAAAACATTTTTGCAGTGCCTTCTAATTGTTAAAATATATTTCTGAAAAGACAAATTTCATTTTACTTTTTTTTAATTCTTCAATTATAGAAGGTAGTATAAAATTATATTTTAAAATATAATAAACATCGTATATGTAATGTACTGAATATTATCTGAATCACGATGCGCAGTCTATATCGATACGTCATTAGGAGATAAACGTATTTATTTATTAAAAGTTAAAATAGTGAAATTCAATAGCTACGTTTCACAAATGCATCTATGTGTTTAGATTAACTAAAATTATGCAATAATTGTTGTCATTTTTTATTAAATTAGAAGTATTGCTTGGTCCGTTTTTTTTTTAAATTTGTGTCTGGCTACCCCATGCTCTAGAAATTCCTGATCTTGTGCGTTTTTTACCGATAGTTTGAACAATAAAACCGATCCTTTGCAATCGATCAAAATTCAAAATATTCCTTCCGTCGAAAATATAGGCTGGCTTCATCATATCTGCATAAATCTGCGTGTAATCTAATTCCTAAAAATGAAATATTTATTAATTCTTTCTTTATGTTAATATATATATATATATATGTGTGTGTGTGTGTGTGTGTGTGTGTGCGTGTGTGTGTGTGTGTGTGTGTGTAATATTAAACATATAATTGCATAAAAAAATTAAACAGCGTTAAGGATGAAGCCATTTTTATTATCTAGACAATACTCTCTTTTCTTACTTACGATAAATTCA